AAAACAGAAAAATGTGAAGCTATTGTTTCTCAACATATCCTCCATCTAGCTGTATTCATTTCTGAAGGCAGTTTCCATCTCTCTGTAACCCTTCCTGAAGAACTCTGTTCTCTTCCATTTACACCATTTGTGCATCCTCAAGGGGCTCAGATTGTGTTTCTTTTAAAGGTCCTTTGAGAACTGGGAACAAAAAAGTCTGGAGGGACAAGATCAGGGCTGTAGGGTGACTGCGGTAAGGTTTCTCAATGAAATTCTCATAGGATAGCCCTGGCTATCCTTTAAGAATGGGCTCTTGCATTGTCAAGATGGAAAAATATTCCTTGGTACAACTTTCCTGGCCTTTTTCTCACTAATGCAGTTTTCAATTTTCTTAAAATTAAATGATCATCCTATGTCCTTCAAGGAATTCTAATAAGATTACTTACCCCTTTGGGGATCTCCAAAAACTGCCAACCACAACCTTCTGAGATGACCTCTCTACCTTGAGTTTAACTGGCTAAATAGCTCCCCTCAGAGGCCATTATTTTGATTGAACCTTTTTCTTTTGAAGGCAACTGCCATATACTGAATTGTGTGTCTTCCTTGTATGTGTCACCTTGGCTGGGTCATGATTTCTTTGTGGTTTGGCAATTATATAATGATATAAATGTAGCAATTATATGATTATTCCCCCATGATACAATCCTATATGATAAGCCAATAATTAAGGGTGGGCAGCAATACCCTAAATCCCATCACAACCCTGATCCAATGTAAAGGAGTTTCCCAGAGTGAGCAAAATCATTTGGTTGGTGGTTATGTGTTATGGAGTTGATTCTGACTCATAGCAACCCTGTATAGGGTTTCCAAGGTTATAAATCTTTATGGGAGCAGAAAGCCTCATCTTTCTTCGGAGTGGCTATAGTTTCGAACTGTTTACCTTGTGGTTAGCAGCCTGACTCATAACCCACTATGCTACCAGAGGAAACAAGGTGAGCAGAGAGAGATCTACTACCACTAAGAAAGAAGAGCTGGGGATGGAATGTGTCCTTTAGACCTGAGGTCTCTATACTGTGAAGCTTCTTCTTGTTGTTAGATGCCATCGAGTTGGTACCGACTGCAGCTTCTAGACCCAGGGAAAAACTGATGCCAAGACACATGAAAAATGTTCCGGGAATGCTGGGCCTACAAATAATGAAAGGAGACGAGGACTCTTCTCCGGAGTCAGTGCTTTGAATTCAAACTTCTAGACTCCAAAACCGTGAGAATAACTTGGTTTGTTAAAGTCATCCACTTGTGCTATTTCTGTTACATAGCACTAGAGAACTAAGACAGCATCCTAATGAGTAAGACAAAAGTGTATTACTGAGAGAACTTCTCTGCACCCATCCAATTATCACTTAGACATACTTAGCAATACTTTCTGACTTACCTTCATATCATTTATAGTGTTTCTCAAATGCACAGGGCAGGGAGAGGCCTTCAAAAAGCTCGTGGATAAATGGAATTTAAAAATAATAGAATTTTTCCATAAACTTTTTGAAGACTCCTTATGATTGCCCAAAACCTTAGTTTTATTTAAATTTATATCTTAGTATATCTCATAAGATTACTAACTGTTCTGAGAATCATATTTTGGGAAATACACCCCATTCAGTATCATCCAAATCATGTTAATAGCATATGCTATGCTATATGTGTATGTAGAAAGAAAAACTACTAATCATGTATGTGATTTACATTTCATTCTACTTGCAAAAGTGCATTTTGTAAGTCTTTTATAATGAATATGAATTAATATTATAACTAAAAAAATAAACACTTGTACTTTCCAGCCCAATAATTCTACTTCTGGAAAATCTGTCCTACTAAAATAACCCTAAATGCAGGAAAACAATTTCATGCATAAAAATAGTCAAAAGAATTCTTGTAGCAAAAATTCTGGAAACATGGTACGTACAAACAATAAAACATTCTGCCAGTATTTTTAAAGCTTTTACATATAATGTTTAATAGGAAAGAAAAATATTTAGGTCTTAAAAAAGACAACGTTTTACATCCTACTTTGGTAAGCCGCCATCTAAAGTGCAACTAGTGGTCTCTCCCTGATTGGAAGAAAGAAGAGTGATGAAAATTGAAGACCCATGGAACCAATAAATTGCAGGGACTAATGGACTATGCTAACATTAGTCTCCATAACCCTGAGATCAAAAGAACTAGATGGTACCTGGCTACCACTATCAACTACTCTGAAAGGGATCACATTAGAAGGTCCTGCGAATTGTGAAAGAAAAATGTGGAACAATACTCAAAATAAATTTTAAAAAGGTTGGCCCTACAGGTCAGATAAAGACTTGATGACTTGATGAAACTCCTGATACTATGACCCCACCCTTCAAGCCTGGAAATGAACTCATCCTCATGGCTCACTTTTTAGCCAAATGATAAGTCTATCAGGAGTCCTAGTATGGTGCTGCGGGTTAATGCACTGGACTGCAAGGTTGGTTTAAACCATAAGGTCAGTAATTCATGCTTACCAACTGAACCTCAAAAACTTGATGGCACTAAACAACAATAAGGGTTACAATAACACTAGTGAGGGACACACACCTTAGAATAATCAACCATCTGAGATCAAAAGGGCAGCATTTACCCAATGATAAAGTTCAGAAGGGCTAGGAAAAGAGGATTAGAAACAGGAAACATGGGAAGGAAGTGGGATAAATGATGCTACATTGGTGGGATTGCAATCAATGAGATGAAACAAAATATGTAATTGTTGAATGGAAAACTGATCTGCTCAGAGCTTCACTCAATTCACAACAAAGTTTTTTTGTTTGAGGAATATATCATCTGACTCAACCTCATTAAAAAATGTACACACACAAAAAAAAGATTAAAAGAATTTATGCCCATTTTAACAGTAGACTCTGATGGATAATTTATATTGAATAAAAATTACATACCTAAATTTGTATTTAAGGAGTAGTGTAAAATAAGCACTGGACTGCAAAGTCAGTGAACTGCAAGGTTGGGGGTTCACACTCACTAGCTGCTCCTTGGTAAATGTGAACCACTGACCTTTTGTTAACAGTAAAGCATTTAACCACAGTACCAGCAAGGCTCCTTCCAGCAGGTCTATTGTTAAGTGCCATCAACTCAGTTCCTAAGTGGGTCTGAACCTTGTGGTTAGCAGTTCAGTGCTTATCCTACAGCGTCATACACCGCGAGCCTAAGGAGAGGCAAGAAGCTGGTTTGCACAGTAAAGGAGGCAAAGGTGATGGGTAGCACCTGAAGAAGAAGCAATGTCCTGGCTAAGATTTAGTTTGTAGTGATTTTGATGTGTAGCTACTTTGAAATATGAGAGGACCTCAAAAGTTTGTGGAAAAATGGTGTTAAAAGCTAATATAAAATTTCCACGGACTTTTTGAAGCCCTCAAGTCAATGCCTTCTGATGATAAAAGTATTCCAAAGGTGCTGAAGACACTGAGAATGATAGCAAGAAACAAAGTGGAGGAAGAAAAAATGATACAATAAGTCTGGATGTTGACACTAAGATTTCAGGATGCATTAGGATGCCTTCCCCAAGGATTGCATCAGTAATCAGGAAATAGCACAAGCTTGCTATAGTACAGGAATCAACTCCATGGCAGTGGGTTTGTTTTTTCTCCCTTAATAAGGGAAAGACGATAAGCAGACTGATTTCTTCTGCTTTTCCACAAAGGCACAGGAAACAGAAGATACCTCTGCGGGTCAGGGGGATAGGGGGAAGTAGGGCAAGAAGTGACATTTAGATTTTCATTAAGTCAAAGTAAAGAAAATGGTTTAGGATAGAGACAAGTATATTGAACAATAAATGGTATTTCCAAAGCACATATTAAAAAGGAGTTAGTTGGAGAAGGACATACTGGGTAGAGGGCAGGAGGAGAGAGGTACCACTTTGAAATGTGAGATTTGAAATAAGCAGCAGAGAAATGGGTTACATTAGGTGCCATAAGACAGGTGGGTTAAGGAAAACAAACATGGAGTGCAACAGGCTTAAGTGACACATTTTAAAACAGGCTGTATGTACCACAGCAAATACAGCGTGGGTTCTACAGAAAACTACGTTTACACGATGACGGATACAAAAACAGTAACATCTTGTACTTGCATAGCACTTTACAAATTACTTTCACATATCTTATCTGATCCTCACTGGGAAGATTTTATTAAGTTTCCAAAACGGATACAATTGGATGGGGCAAAACCATGATGATAATCTTGAATCTCGGTTTACAACACAGAAACCTCACACAGCAGACAGTTTTGCATCTAAGCCAACAAGGAGAGAAATTCTTCTGTAGACAGAAGTAATAGTGGATTTTATCAACTTGTCAAATGGCTTGAGAGGAGCCCCTCAACTTCTATCATCACCAATGATTAGAGAAAACAGAGAAGGTACCACATCAAGGAGGAAACCCAAGCCTGAAGTTATATTAGGTTCCTTTTTCCTACACACCTCTGGACTTCAATAGCTCAACAATGAAAATAAGGGAGAGAGAGTGAAAAGCACTTTGTAGCAATGAGTTCTTCAGCAGATGTGGCTTCGGGGGTAAAAAAGAATATAAAAGAGGGTGGTGTATGGCAGCAAGCAGGCATCACTAAAAGATGGGGGAGGGGAGCAAGGGAAGGCAGAAATTGGAGGGAACTGAGATTGTAGGTGCCTCCAAGGCTGGAGAAACGACAAGAGATATAGGATGCTCCTACAGATGGAGAAAAGCTTTGGGTCCGTGAAAGTTCTGGAGTAGGTACCAGCATTGAAGGACCCTAGGGTTTGGGTGACCGGAAGCCAGGACCCCCAAACAAGACACCAGAAGGGGGCGCAGCTGACACCTCGTAGGAGAGAATGAATGGGGAAGGCGGTACGGAGGGCGGAGCAAAGGAGGGGCCCCGGGGTGGGCGGGGCGCAGACCCCTATCCAAGTCCGAACCCCTGCCCCGAGAGCCAGGGGAGAAGCGGATCGCGTCTCCCGCACTCACCGCCGGTCTCGTCAGTTACATAGGGAGTCGCCATCTTGAAAACGCAAACCACTTCCGGCGTGAACGGCCTAGGGTTCCGCCTCCTCCCCACCGGAAGTGGAGTCCCGATCTTAGCAAGCCACCATCTTTGTCTTAAAGGGAGAGTGCACCAATTCATGGCCAACGTGTAGGGGAAGGAAGAGGGAGCAGAAACTAAAGAAGTTAATAAAATAAGAGCTGTGGGTTCCTTTATTACCACTGCTATCATTATTAAGCGCCTTTAAAACAGTTGCATATAAAACAGTCATCTGGGCGCCAAGAGAAGTTCCGAAGCACGGTCCCTCTTCCTCAAACGCACTCCTCGTGGGTCCGGGAACTCGGGGGGAAGGGGGAAGGGGAAGGGGGTAGAGGGTGCAAAACCAACCTACACCCGAAAAGGGGCACTAGGATCCCAGAGAGATTTGACGGCGTGGGGCTGAACAGGCAAACTCGAGCTCTCGAATATTGCTGGTCAAACTGAAGACCCCAGTAATCCCTTTCTAAGCAAATAGGGAGGTAGAAATCGTGTGCCGTTTGCCCTCTGCCGCCCGGCTTAACCCCGCCCAAGTCAACCCTCGGGACAGACTCGCGCGAGGGGCGTAGGAGTGTAGAGCTTGCCGGTCCGTCACCTGTTCCCGCAGCCTCAGGGTTGCCGGCGGCTTCCATGACTGAGGAGGCTACGGGTCGGGTTGCGCGACAGGCCTTGCCCTGGCCCTAGCCCTGGCCCTGCCCCTGGGGCGGTTCCGCGGAATCGGAGGCGTACTGACGAGGGCCTAAATTTGCCCGGCCTCCGACCCTGGGAGCCTCTAGGGCAGGTCACAGGGCAGAGTGAAGCCTTCTGGAGGGACCCAATTAGCAGTGGCGTCTCCAGAGGAGTGGGGGTGCGGACCACACAGGGTGACACCAAAGTAACTGTAAAATCTTTATGCAGTGTTTCAATATAAACTTATTATTATTTATAAAATATCCCTGTAGTTAAGGAGCTCTGGTAGCGTAGTGGTTACGAATCAGGCTGCGAACCTCAAGGTCAGCGGTTCGAAACTACCAGCTGCTCCGTGAGAGAACGATGAGGCTTTCAGCTCCTGTAAAGATTTACAGCCTCGGAAACCCTGTTCAGGATCGCTATGGGTCAGAACGACTCGACGGCACTTACCAACAACAACATCCCTGTAGTTATAACAATATTTTGCATTCAGCACCACTTGGATGTACCAATATACCTACAAGGCTAAATTGGATGCTAATTTACTTTGTTTTGTGAGGGATGTTGTTAAGTGCCATGGGGTCAGTTCCAACCCATAGCAACACTATATAAAGTTTCGGAGGAGCAGCTGGTGAACTTGAACCATCGACTTTGGTTTAAGCCGACTTTGCAGTCCAGCGCAGTAACCTACAGCGCCACACCTGGGCTCTGCAGAGGTGGTTGTTGTTAAGTGCCATCGAGTCGGTTCCGACCCATAGCGACCCTGTATAGAGTTTCCGAAGAGCAGCTGGTGACCTTGAACCACCGACCTTGCAGTTCAAACGGCTTTGCAGTCTGGCGCATTAACCCAAAGCGCCACACCTAGGAGTAAGGAAACAGGATTAGGACTATGTAGCTAGGTCTAGAAGGCAAATTGAAGGCTTCTGGGTACACCCAACTAGCAGTGACATCACTAGAGGAGTGGGGGTGGAGTGCAGACCAAACCTCGTGACAACACTGAGTTGGAGTCCTGGTGTGGCACTTTAGGATAAGCACTGGACTGCTAATTGTAATATCGGCAGTTCAAACCCACCAACCGCTCCTCGGAAACCCTGTACAGGGTCAGAATCCACTCAATCGCACTTAACAACAACAGGTGAGACCCAGGGCTTTGTTTTTATTAGGGTTATGAGTAGGACTAAAGTTAGCATTAAGGAACCCTGGTGTTGTTAGGTGCCATTGAGTAAATTCCAATTCAGCGCTACCCTTTATAGGGTTTCTGAAGAGCAGCTGATTGGTTTGAATTGCTGTGTGGTTTGCAGTCCGCTGCTGATCCTACAGCACCACATCAGAATGCTGGAGCCCTGGAACTGTAGTGAATTATGAGCTGGACTGCTAACTGTAAGGTCAGTAGTTCTCATCTACCAGCTGCTCAATGGGATAAGGATGAGTTTTTTCTGCTCCTGTTATCAGAACTGACTTGGTCGCATACCACCAGGATTAGTGTTAGGAGAGATTTAAGGTTTCAGTTAGGTTTATTTTTTATTTATTGAAATCTACTGGATTTTCTCTTCATTTGGAAGTTCTGTAATTACATTTTACTTTCTTTTTACACTTTTTACTTTGTTTTTGTTGTTGTTGCTATTGCAAACGTATCTCTGGCTCCCTATTACCAGTTTTGTAAGTTTTACTTCAAGGAGTTGGAATGACTCCACAACACTTAATAACGGGTTTTACTTTGGATACTTCTGCTTATCTGGAGTGGCACTACTGCCTAATGTGCTGCAGTCAGTTTGAACTGCAAGGTTGGCGGTTCAAACTCACCAGCTGCTCCTCAGAAACCCTATACAGGGTTGCTATGGGTCAGAACCGACTCATCAGCACCTACCAACAACAACATTGTCTGGATTGGGAGTCCTGATGTGGTGCTGTGAGTTAATGTGCTGGACTGCAAGGTATGTTTGAACAGCAAGGTTTGAGGTTCAAGCTCAACAGCCACTCCTCAGAAAGCCTCTACAGGGTCACTGTGAGTTGGAACCAACTCAACCACACTTAACAATAACAACAAAATATCTGGATTGAGTTCTAGATAGATGTCATGTATGTTAATCTCAGGTTATTGTCTGGCTTTATTGGTTCTCTGGCAACAGTTTTTCTTATAAGGTTGGTTTGGGTTTTATAAATTCCTTTAATTTCTGCATATCTGGAAATTGAAGGAACTGGCAAACAACAAGCCACCAGGAATTGATGGAATAAAAATTGAAATCTTTCAAGAAAGTGAGGTGGCACAGAAGGCAAGGTTGAAGAGCAAAGATAACAGCTTGAAGACTAAGGTGCGCCTGACCCAAGCCATGGTATTTTCAGTAACCTCATATGCATGCAAAAGCTGGACAGTAAATAAGGAAGACCGTAGAAGAATTGATGCTTTTGAGTTATGGTGTTGGAGGAGAATATTGAAAGTGCCATGGGCTGCCAAAGGAACCAATAGATCCATTTTGGAAGAAGTGCAGCTAGAGTGCTCCTTGGAGACCAAGCTGGCCAAACTTCATCTCTCATACTTAGTACATGTTGTCAGGAGGGACCAGTTGCTGGAGAAGGATATCATGTTTGATAAGGTGGAGGGTCAGAGTAAAAGAGGAAGACCCCCAACGAGATGGATTGGCCAAGTGGCAGCATTGATGGACTCAAGTGTGGCAATAGTAGTGAGGTTGGCCCAGGATCGGGCAGTGTTCTGTTCTGCTGTGCATAAGGTCGCTATGGGTCGGTACCGACTCAATGGCACCTAACAACAATACTTGGAAATGTTCTAATTTCACCATAATATTGGAAGGGACAATGTTTTTCCGTATGAGTCTTGGTTGAAATGTTTTCAGAGTGTTATGTACGTCATCCCATTGTCCTTTTACCTGCCTGGTTTCTGCTAAAAATCAAAGCTTGTAGTAATTCTCCTTTGTAGGTAATTTTTTGTTTTTCCTGACTGCTCTCAGAATATTTTCCTTGTCTCTGGTTTTGGAAAGTTTAATTATAATATGTCATGATGAATTTCTTTAGGGATCAACTAGGTGTGGTTTATTTAACTTCTTGAATGAATATCTTCTCATTTTTTATGATATTAAGAAAGTTTTCTTCTAACAACTCTGACAGTTCTCTATTTTTTTAAATTCTCTTCCAGTTCTGGAATTCCAAGCATATGTAAATTATTCCTCTTGACTTGATGGTATTATAATGCTTAAACTTTGTTCAGATTTTTGTTGTTGTTGTTGATTTTTCTTATTGTTCCATAGCAAATAAATATTGAGAGATTACTCTTCAAGTTCAGTAATTTAACCTTCCACTGATTCATTCTACTCCTTTGCCCTTACAGTGTATTTTCTATTTCTGAGATGTTAGTATTAACATTCTAGATCTCTGTCTTTATTTTGTCAATTTGTTCTTGCAGTGTTTTCCAAGATTTTTCTAAAGTATAGTCTGTGTTTTCCTTGACTTCATCTGCAGTTTTCTTGATCATTCTCTCAATCCATTGAAGGTACCTAAATACCATTCGTTTGAATTCTTTATCAGATAGTTCGGATACCCTTTCTGGTATTATATTTTCTGACTCTGAATTTTTGTCACTTGTTTGAGGCACTCTGCTTTATTTCTTCATATAAGCTAAAATTGTCTGTTGTCTCCAAAACATCATGGTGTCATTATATTCATAGTTAATGGATGATTATACATTGGTGTGTTCTTAGGCACTCACCACCTGTCTCCTGGTAGATATGACAGAGACTGAAAGTGTGTATTCAGTTCTCTGCTCATCGCTTATATAGTATAGTTCAGGTCTGGTTTGTCTGATATCGGCTGCTGATTATTATTGGTCAGGTGGTACAGGAGTGAGTAGAGGCACTTGCTCACTGAGTGGATCTGCAAGAGACAAATGTGTCTCTGGGTGATATGGGCGCACTTGCTGTCTCATAAAAACAAACAAGGAGTCCTGGTGTGGTGCTGTAGGATAAGCACTGGACCACAAGGTTGATTCGAACTGCAAGGTGGCAGTTCAAAACCATCATCCACTCCTCAGAAACCCTATAAAGAATCTATATGAATTGGAACCAATTCAGTGGCACTTAACAACAAAAACAGACAACATTTAGATCCAGAGAGGGAGAGCGACTGTGTGCTGAAGACCTGGGGGGCACGGGGGAAGGATTGCATGGAGGTGATTGTAACCAAGGCAATGAGACGATATATGATAGAATGAATGTAAATCCAATGTTCTCCTATGTAAAATATCACGTAATTCACAATAAAACATTTAAAAAAAAAAAAAACAGACAACAGCAATAAAAGATCTAAAGAGGC